AGGGGATCCGGTCCCCTCCCATGGCACCGCAGGCGGCTGGGCTCGCCTCTGCCTGCCCCCGCCCCGCCCGCACCCTGGGAGCGCAGAGCCGGGGGGCTGATCCCGCTCCGAGCCGCGCAGGGTGCTACAGACCCGACACACACGTGCCGGTCTAAGTCCTGAGGTTCCTAGAACAGCCCCGGCCTCCCCAGAGCCGCCGGTGTAGCGGCTCCTCGCCCTCTAGGAAACGTGACTTCCCCCGCGGGACTGTCTGCCCCCGCCCCCGGGAGCTGGCCTGAGCCGAGTCAGTTCCTTCCCTGCAGCGCTTCTCAGACGGGAGCCGGGGAGCCCCCAAGCGGCTCTTCCATGCGTCTCCTGCGGCTCTTTGTAGCAGGTGATATTAACACTGATTTTATTATTAACCCAGCAGGCAGGATGCTTTTATGGTAATTTAATTGGTGAATAACAACTTGCACTAAGATATGAATTTACTTGCTGTGATTATAATCTAAATATTTCCTCTGCCACAATGTCCCTAGTCTTTGTTTGCCAGAAGCCAGGAATGAGCAACAGGGGATGGATCACTGGATGATTGATTCCCTCTGGAGCACCTGGGATTGGCCACTGTCCAAAGACAGGATACTGGGCTAGATGGACCTCTAAATCTAAATGAAACCGTGAATTTACGTGAGTGTGGCTATTCTGGGTAATGCTGGTGGCTAATTTGGCTCCTGAACCTTTGAGGTCTGAGTGTCACTTCTCTAGTCCCTGTCTGATATGGAACCAGGCTCCCTCTCACCAGCACTTGAATGGAAACTTTTCCCTCCCCTGTATTAAAAACGTTAACAAATGGGGGAGAGGGGAATGTTGCCCAATTTCTTTGATTTGTTAGGGCAGGTTTCATCCAAAAACTTTTTGTTGTTTAAACCTAAGAAATTATTTGGCTCTTGATCAGAAACTGAAGCGTTTGGGTTTTGCAATTATGATAAACCCCCAAAACTGTTTACAAAACTCAGCGCATCATGAAAACATTTTTTAGCTGGAAAAGCCCATTTTCCCTTTAAAAATAATGGCAAACTTTCAGCCAGCTCTGCTTGAACACCACAAACAGCACGGCACTCAAAGTGCAGTATCGGAAAATCCTAAATACAGACCTGGGAACATGCATTTTCATACTCTACAGCTTGTTAAGCACCAGTGATATTAACCTGCCGTTCTCATATGAGGGAAACTTTTCAGCTTGTAAAAATGATGAGTAAGATGGAGTTTCTCAAATCATGACTAGTGTGGAGAAAGTAAATAAGGAAATGTTATTCCTTCACATAACACAAGAACTAAGGGTCACCCAATGAGATTGAGGCACCTCCACTAGGGGAATAGTTTCCCAGTGCTGGGAGCGCTCAGGGGGGTGTTTTTTCACACCCCTGCATGAGAAAGTTGCAGCGCTGTAACGTGCCAGTGTCGATGTGCTTAGTGTCAAGCAGAGGAATGAATTAAGCTCCCAGGCTCCTCTTTTGAAGGTGTTGTGTAGGTTTCCTTTGTGGATGAGGACTGGTAGAGAGATCAAAGTGCTCACCCACAGGTCTTAATCACTGGTTCTTAAAAAGGTCATTAAAGCATCCAGGTGTCTCTGGGCATCCTTCCAATGCCCTTCTTGGAAGGGGAACCGATTACAGTCTGGCTGCTGGCCAATTGGCTCCTCTTCTTTGGGGCTCCCTTCTGGTCTTGTTTAGATTTGCTGCCCTTTTATGGTGTTTTTCCGAAGCCCTTCCTGCTCGCTGGGGTTGGCTGGAATGGGAAGTGCCACCTGCAGCAGGAGGCTGAGCAACTACCAGCTCCCAGGGACTGAGGCATCGTGATCTGACTCTTGGCAGACTCGAGCTTTTGCTAAAGAAATGGCCGTGAGCAGAGTCCTTAGGGTTCTCCGCCCCTGGGTCTAGGGGACCCAATCCTGTGCAGTGGGACCCTGTCGCTCTGGCTGCTCTGCTCACGTTCGGGGTCCTTCTGGGGCAGGGAGATGCAGCGCGCAAAGGGGGGGGATCTCTGGCACCAGGTGAAGGGGGGGGATCCTGCAGTGATATTGGGGAGGGGGAGCATGAAGCCACAGTAGGGGGCTGCACTGATTTGGAGGGTGGGGAGGAAGGGATTTCAACTAAGCTGGGGAAAGTGGAGTAGGGCTTGGGCGGGGGTTGCACTGGTGGAGATAGGACAGGTATGTTTCTGCACTGATCAGACGGGGGACTGGGGTTGGATGGGGGCTGTTGGGCGGGGGCTGCGTGCTGATCTGATAGGGTGGGTGGGGGAGCTGCATGCTGATCAGATGGGGAGGGGAGTTGGGTTGGGGGCTACGCTGAGCAGTTTATTTGCTTGAAATGTGAAAACCCCCCAACCAGAATCTCAACTTGCTGCTGGCTGGGGCGGGAAAGAGCCCGGGAGAGGTGTGTATAACCCATCCCCTGGAAATGGCAAGGGCCAAACAGCCCATCCTGCTGCTCTAGCTCAAGAGCACGGTTCAGCGCCCAAAACCGCAGGGATGTTAGCAGCTCTCTAACACAGGGGTTTTCAAACTTTTTCTGGTGACCCAGTTGAACAAAATTGGTGATGCCCACGACCTAATAGAGCTGGGGAGGAGGGGTTTGGGGTGCAGGAGGGGGCTCAGGGCTGGGACAGTGGATTGGAGTGCAGGAGGGGGTTAGGGCTCTGGGCTGGGGGTGCAGGCTCTGGGGTGAGGCTGGTGATAAGGGGTTTGGGGTGCAAGAAGGGGCTCTGGGCTTGGGGGGCACAGGGTTGGGGCATGGGCTTACCTCAGGGGCTCCCCATCTGTGGCACAGCGGGGGTGCTAAGGCAGGCTTCCTGTCTGTCCTGGCACCGCGGGTCGCGCTACATCCTGGAAGCGGCCAGCAGCGGCTCTGGCTCCTAGGCTGAGGTGCGCAAGCGGCTCTATGCGGCTCTTGCCTGCAGGCATCGTCCCCCTCCCCCGCCCGTTCCCGGTGTGCGGAGCCAGTGCTTGGGGTGGGGGCAGCACGCGGAGCCCCATGGCCCGCCTGCCTAGGAGCCGGATCTGCTGCTGGCCCTTTCCAGGGTGCAGCGCGATGTCAGAACAGGTAGGGACTAGCCTGCCTTAGCCGGATAGCACCGCTGAGGGGACTTTTAATGGCCCAGGCAGCTGTGCTGACCAGAGCCCCTGCGACCCAGTGCCTGACATTCCGCCACCCAGTACTGGGTCGTGACCCGCAGTTTGAAAACCTCCACAAGGGTACGTTGGAGCAGGGAACAGGAGATTAAATGGCTGGGGCTGGTGCTGAAGCTGCCTCCTCTGGTAAGAACTCAGCGGCTGGGGAACAGATTATAGATCTCACACCGGAGCAGCTATTACAATATGACCTATTCAGCTAATAAGTAGGCTTGGAAGGATTCGCTTTTGATAGTAAAATGTCGGTATTCATTTCATGGCACACAGACACGCTGATGGGAAAATATCTCCGTTGGTGGTCATTGAAATGTGCAGATCTGCAAAGTCAGACAACTGCTGCTTGAGAACTTCTTACAGTTGGATTGAAGCAAATTTCCTTAGCAGATTTTGACATGTGATGTTGACAGATGGTTAAAACAATTACAAAGCTTTAACTTTGAATAGCAACCTGGTCTGTCATTAACTATTGTCTGAACCCGTCCCCAGAATTTCCCCACCGCTGTGAAAATTTAAATTGATGATCAAGATAAAACTTTAAAATAAACCAGTATAATACATTGAAATTATAAAAGTTGAAGTCTGCCAGGACTTGTTTTACTGGAGCAGTGCCCGGCATGCTTATAGATCTGCTTACGACACAGGAAAACGACTGTCGAAATAGACTTCAGATTTTCGGAAGGTGAGAGAGAGAGGGCTGCTTTTCTTCACCCAGAAAAGGGAACTTGGCAGGTTTTTTTGTTTTCTTTACAGATTTAGCCCTGATTTCTCAACGGTGAATACCAGCTTGTATGAAGGAGAATCTGTTAAACTGCTGGACAAAAATGCCTTACGATGAGGAGGTTCAACTTAGTGCACTGAGGTCTCAAAAATAGTGTATATTTTAGTGAGTTTCATGTACAGAGTCTCTGCCTGAGAATCAACTTCTTGCTCTTTGATTGCTAGCTATCACAGAACAGTGTATTATCAATGCATGTCCTTTTCAGATGCCGTCGGTTGTTAGTTCATTTCCCTCCTCGGCTGATCCAGGCTGTGTAAGGTTCATTTACATTTCTTGGTTCAAAACAGTCTTAATAATACAGTCTTGGAGAGAAGAGGTCGGATATGAGAAACTGCAAACATGACTGCCCATGAGTAGCATCCCCCAAGAAGGAAACCCGCAACAGGAAGTTACACATGATGTGACAAAAATGGCTTTTTGTGAATGGAGACTCCAGATCTGCTACCTGCTACTGATATGATTTGGAGTTTCTGGGCCAAAAACAGGAGCCAGTTGAGTCTAGATGCTGGATACAGGGTTTGAAATGTTCGTGCCCAGCAATGTCAGGTTAAAAACTCCCTTGTCCTGGTAGGAACTCCACTTGTTAGGAGCAACAGGGTGAGGGGCCGAATGTTGGTGGATTCCAGGGGTTGGGGAGAGACAACAGCAATAAACTGATCTTTTCTTTTAGGCAAAGTCTTGAATTTGGGGCCAAAAGCCGGCCAGATCCATGTGCCAAATGTATGACTGTTTGTAGTGCCGTTGAGCTGTTCTAGCAGGGTCTGGGTTCTGCTGGTGGACTAGGATCAGTTCTGCAGGATCGACTTGTACAATAGATTTCAGAAGCCAAAAACTAGCTGGGTGTCACGTCGCTTATGTTCTTGGACCGAACAGGGAATAGCAAGAACTGACCCCACTAAGCCATGAACTGTCCTGAGTGTTGCATCTTGGCTTTCAGCTCCACACAGAAGCTGCAGAGGGAGAGGAATCTGAGTGTGGCTGGCTTGCCGTCCGGTGGAAGTGACTCTCGCTAGGAGTGGATCAGAGGAGCCTGTGCGTGTCAGTGGAGAGATGGGGGAAACCGATTCTACCGAGCAGAGTCCGCAAGGAGAGGTGAACTCCAATTGTAATGGAGGCCTTGAGACAGGAGGGGACACAGAATCTGGAGAGAATCCTCAACGAGAAGAATTAATCAAGTTGTCAAGTAGCAATGGAGATGCAAGGAGAGGACAGGACCCAGGTAATCACAGCTTCGTGTGCAGCGGGGGGGTTGTGGATGAACAGTTCTGGGTGGGCACGTGTCACTCCTGTCTAGAGAGCAAAAGGCAATGAAATGCTATGAACGAACCCAGGACACAGTGGGGTGCCAAATACCCATGTGTACTAGCTACACACGGACACACCAGGCCCAGCTACATGCGCACTGCTGCTCGGGCTGGCTTCTCAAACCTAAAACACAGTGAGCGCCGCTGGAGGGCTCACCAGCTATTTAAAGGGGCGCTAGCCCCATTTCTACACACTACAGCATCCACATCTAAAACTCTGGACCCCTGTTCTGTGTTCATCCCTCTGTTTACCGTAAGGGCCAGACTTTCAAACGGGAGAGCATAGGCCTCCTTGCAAATTCTTGTATTTCTAGTCCAGCGCCTAGAGACCAGCCAGGTTGGGCCCGTTGTGCTGGGTGCTGTACAGATGTACACACAATGACAGTCCCAGCCCCAGAGACCTTACAGTCTAGCCACATCTGGGGCACGTCCAGGGTCCCCCACTTGCGCACGGCGAGGAGCCGGGGTGTGGGGACAGTGGGAAATTTCTGCCTTCCGTTGAGGCCTGTGGCCACAGCCCGGGTTCGAGCAGGGTTTTCCCTGGGCCTTCTGAAAACGTGGCTCTGGGTGTTTTAGGGAAGGCTGTTGGTGAAGGCTGGGTGGGGCCACGGAGCTGCTGTTCTTTCACACGGGCTGCTGGGGTTTGTTCCCTGGGTAACGAGCCAGTGTCCCCAATTCCTTCATTTTTCAGAGGGGCTGAAGTCTCGATGCTGAGGCGCTTTCTCAGCTCTCTGGAGGAATCAGTATGAAATGTGTGCTGAACATACAGCAGATGTTCCCCACACTCGCCGAGGGAGGGGCAGGGGGTCGGATGTTCAATTGCTCTGGGCTCAGAGGAGTTGGGTGCAGCTGGGCCTGAGGGTTCCGTGTGTGACCGAGTCTGAGCCCCCAGGCAGGGGCACGGACACAGCTCAGGGCCCAGACTGCAGAGAAGGGGAGTGTGAGACCCGTTCCCATCCCTGACAGCTGGGAGCCGGTCACCCTGCCGATGCTTCAGGAGAGTCTGGACGGGAAGAGGGGGATTAACTAGCCCCATTTATCCTCTAACGGGAGTCGAGATCCCTGTAACTCGGTGGGATTTGGGGAGGACATTGTTAGGACTCTGCATGGTTTTAACTAATATCCGTGCGCCTGCACGTACCAGCGATACAAATAAATCCAGGTCTGTGGCAGCTCTGATGCTTGTGGTTACGAACGCTGGCTCCCCGACCCCTGCTGTGGAGCAGCCCTGGGAGCCTGCCTGGCTTCTCTTTCAGGTTCTCGATCTCCCTTCAGGGACCCATCCGTGCGTATAGCCCTGATCTGTGTCTCCGGTGTAGCTGTGGTTCTGTTCTTTGTCGTCATTGCTTTGGTAGCAGCTCTGGCAGGTGAGTTCCCAGCCCGCCTGCCCTCCTCTGTGCTTCCCATTCATCCAGGAGCTGTCTCGGGTGCATGTTCTCCCCTCCCGGCCTGTCTGGCTTCAGCATTGGGTTCAGGAATGGGTCACCTGAGAAGTCTGATTCTCTGTCCCAGAGCCCATCGCTCCCTCTGTACAGCTCAGACACACACACCCCGTCTTACACCTGGAGCAATGGACTGAACTTAATTCCCACCCCAAGATCTCTAGCTCACCTGCCCAGCGTGGCTCTGAGGACGCCGGCCTTCCTGCATCCCCGCTTGTTGGCTGCTCCCAGGACAGGGCTTGCAGGTACTACAGTGTCTTTGAGACAGGCTTGATTGGTCAGTGGGGGAGGGGGCGCTCTGACTGCAGCACAGCTGGGAATTAAACCTGCCCCTCAAGTTGGAACGGAGATGGAAGGTTCCCCCTCGGCTATTAACCGCTCTAGTTGCGGTCGACACTGTTCATGAACCTTACTATAGATTCACTGTACACAAACCTTCATTTCCGCAGGAGTTAAAGCTGCTGCTATGTTCCCCTGGCTCCCCCGGCTGGGGCCTGGCAAGAACAGCAGTTCAAATAACCCCCTCAACATGAAAAACCCAGGCAGTGCGGAGCTAAGGCTGCCCATAGCACTCTGGGCATTCAGGCCACCTTAACTCTGCCCCCATAGACACTCCTAGAAAATCTAGTTGCCCTCTCCATCCATGCCAAGCCCAGCTCGGGAAACAGGCTGCCGCCCTCTCTCTAGTCTGATGTGATGTGGTTCCCGACAGAGCCCTTCAGGCTCATGCATGGTGGTTGTTGGGTATTGTTACTGCCTAGATTGGACACAGTGCCGCGCAGGGGCGATCAGACCCCCCTCCTCATGAAAGACCCATTCTGTTCAGGTATGGAAGGCTTGACATAGCAGCTCCCCAACCCCTCACAAGTTGAGACCCTCGGGAACCCCGAGGCAGCTGACTCCCCGTGTCACTAGATCCAGTTGCAGGGAGTCTAAATATCCAACCTCCCCGCCCTGGGACATCCCCCGGAAAGCAGCACTGTCTGTGAGACCCCTGCTCCTCTCACTTGGGCTCAGCACACAATTCCTATGTTTGTGTCTATGCAGCGTGAGGTTCAATTCCCTACTCAACTTGTGACTGGAGCAGGCCAACCTCACTGCAAGGGGGCAGAGTTAAGGTGATCTAGGGAGGGGAGTAACCTGAACTCTGCAGCACTTGGTTCCTAATGTCTCTAATAACCCTGCCATGCTTGTTAGGCCCTTGTTGGGCAGCCAGGGAATTAAATAATCTATCGATGTCCTTGGGCTGAGCACCGTGGCCCTATCCCAGCTCCCATTGAAGTCAATGCAGAGCATCTAGGTATTTCAATAGGGACAGTATAACAGGGTTCCTCCCAGCAGGTGTGCTGCCTCCAGCTCCCTCTTGTGTGTCTTGTAAGGAGCTCATCCCTAGGCCAGAGCATCTTAAATGAAGATTCCTCCCCTTTTGTGCCATTTCGCTAGGTCTCTTACAGCAAATCAAAGCGCTCTTTCACCCATCAAGCCTAGCCCTCGTTCCCCCGGATACTGGGATCCCCCACCCAGCCCTCCTGGGCCTGTGCGATACTTTGGGCAGATTCCCCTCCTCGGGCCAGGAGTCTTGCTGCGGCCCTCCCTCGGCTCCTCCGAGCTGGCCTCTTCCGACTCTCCTTCCCCGCAGAATTCAGCCGGCAGTCAGCCCTCCTCTCCCTCAGAGCTCCCTACTGCCTCTTGGGGAGCTTCTCTCATTGCCAGGCCTGGACTGGTTTTTAACCCCGTGACCGGTCGTGGGGCCCTGCTAACTTCATGGGGATTAAGGAGGCGGAGTCCCAGTTCTGCGCAGCAGCCAGGGTCAGGCCTGTGGTTAAAGTGTTGGCACGGAAATTGGGACTCTTGGGTGCTGTTGCTACTGGGTGACTGGCCAGAATGCTTCCCCGCTCCGTGCCTCAGTTTCCCCCTTAGTGAAATGGGGATAATGAGACTTCCCTGCCTCACAGGGCAGGGGGGAAACGTGAGACTAAAATTGATCCTTGCTTGTGGGAAGCTCAGGTGCTGCTATGATGGGGGGCCTGCACACGCATGCTAAAAGCCCTGTGAATAGTGGGCCAGGAGGTCGTGCCTCTGTCTAGGCATCTACGCTGCACCCAGCATGGAGGGGTCTGAGCTTGGCCTATACAAGTGACAGCTGCGCCTGTCTGTGCCGAGTCCCAGCCATCTGGGGCAGACTGCTGCAGAGCCAAACTGCTGGGTTTGTTTGCCAGCCGTCCCTGGAGATTGTGCCCAGGCCCCGTCACTGCGCTGGCTACTCGGGTGCCTCTAACTCCCTGTTTCCTGCTGCTCTGTCTGGGAGTAGGAGGAGATCTACATGCCACTGAAATTCATCTTACAAAAGCGCCATAATCCACACCTGTGTGAGCTCCCCGGATTCGAGAGGGGTGCGGTGTGAGCGAAGGACTGGCCAGGACTCGGGTTCGAATCGCAGCTCGGCCACTGACTCCCTGTGACCTGGAGCCAGCCCCTCTCCTTCTGTATTGCCAGGCCCCCCGGGATAAAGTGAGAGGATGGGACTGACCCAAGTGAATTTCCCGTTGCTCAGTGAAACTTGCCATTGAACTCAGCGCTGTCCAGCCATCACCCCGCTCAGCCCCGGGGGTGGCAGGTGACTGTCCCCTTCTACAGAGGGGCCACATGGGGATGGTACTGCAGGGTGGGGGGGGGATCAGAACCCAGGAGTCCTGCCTCCCAGTCCGTATGGCGGGTCAGTGCATGTCCCCGCTATGCCAATCAGGGAGGGGGCGGGATCTGTCTCAGGCCCAGAGTCGCTTGCTCCGATATGGGGTCCCTGCTCTCTACTCAGACTGGGGGGGCGGGGGCTGTGCCTGAGGGGCTGCTCCCCTGGGGGGGCAGGGCAGGGAAGGAGACCGGGACAGACTCACCCTATTCTCTCTTATTTCCAGGGGTGCTATCAAGGGCACCTGTGGCCTGCCCCAATGGCTGGGTCGCGTTCCAAGGGAAATGCTATTATTTCTCAGTGACTGAAGGGAACTGGACCTACAGCCGGAGCAACTGCTCTGCACTGGGTGCCTCCCTGGCTGGGATCAACACCCAGCAGGACATGGTGAGTCCGTGGAGCAGCAACAGGCCAGGTGTGGCCTGGTGCTGGAACGGTGCCAGGGCTCAGACTCTGGGGAGTGGGTTGGGAGCTGGCCAGATGGGTCCCAGCCCGGTGCCGATCTAACCGTCCCTGTCCCAGGCAAACGTCCCTCTTCGGCGGGCACAGCTGGCTCTGCTCCAGCTCCCTCCCTGTGACAGGCTACCCGTCTGCCTCCATTCCCCAGACTCTGCTCCACTCCCATCTCCGACAGGGAGACGCTGCCAGGCTGCAGCCTGAAACCTGCTTCCGTGAATCAGGGCTGACCTCTGGGCAGCACTCCTCCTCCGCCCCAGGGGCTGCTGGGAAAGGCTGGGCTGTCTCCACGAACAGCTCAGCAATTTCCCGGGGGGGAGGGGGGGTCAGCGGTTCCAGACGTGCCTGTTCTGAGGGCGTCCGGCTTCCAAACTCTCAGCAGCAGCTCGTGAGACTCAACCCATCTCAGACACCGCTTCCCTGTCAACTCTGAGCTCCCAGCCCCCGCCTCCCCATCCATCCCCTCTGGCTTGAGCTGTCACAGCTCCCTGCCCTACTCATTCCCTGAGCCCCAGCCCTGCTGCTTCCCCTGGGCCTCACCTTATCCCTGGAGCGCCCGGTGTCCTGTGGCTCTTAAGCTACGTCCAGGTGTTTCTGACGTGACGAGGGATGTGGGAGCCCAGGTGAAACCCCCCCCTAAGTAGGGCTGATTATCACAAAGGGCTGAGCACCCGCCCTCTGACAGCTGGGGCTCTGGGAAGGGTCAGGGGTCCCCAGATCATGTCACTTTAGAAGAATCTCTTCCAAGCCGTGTTCTGACTGCAGCCAGTGGCAGACGCTGCACAGGACGCGTTTGCTGGATGGGGCGCGGGGCTGCCCCATCTGTCGTCCTGTAGACTCAAACCCAGCTCACTGGGAGCTCTGTCAGGCGCGTCATGTAGGTTTTCTGCTGCTCTGGTTGAAGGACTTCATGCTGCGCTACAGAGGCCACCGTGACCACTGGTTCGGCCTCCAGAAGGACACGAACCAGCTCTGGAGATGGGTGAATGGCACCGAATTCAACAGCTGGTGAGTTCTCCCCTCTCCCCGAGAGTTGGGTCATGGGCGCTTGACGTGCCGGACTCGGACCGAGCCGGGACTCGTCGCTGACCAGGGAGACCCGAGTCTTGTATGATCTCAACGTGCTCCCCATGTCTGCGTCCAGCCCCACCTCCAGCGCTACCCTCTGTGGGGAGCAATGGGGGATCTGGGCTCTCGGATCCGAGTCCTGCGCAGTGCTGATTCTCTCTGCCTTCAGAGATCTCAACCCCCTGCCCCTGGGGCTTCATGGGGCTGGGAGGTGTTGGTTCCCTCTGCACCAGTCTTCTGCCGTGGGTCTTAGCTGCTTTTGCAGGGGGCGGGCAGACCCCTCCTCCCCAACCCGAGGGAGGTGAATCTCCAGCCGCACTGCATCTGTGCTGGGATCTAACCTAGCTGCTCCCACTGTCTGTCTCCTCCTTCCCCGCCCCCCATCCCAAACAGCACCGTAGCCAGCAGCTCCCCATGTGCTGGGGTGACCTCTCTGCCCTGGGCTCTGCTTTTCCTGTCACCTGCTGCTTTTCTCTCTCTCCTCCCCCGTGACAGCAGCGGCCAGGTCTGAGCTTTGCTCTTTGGTGCTGGGGGAGCTGGTGCTGACTTGACTCTGCCCGGGGCGGGAGGAAAGCTGGTGGCTGCGTCTGGCTGATCCCTGCTGGAGGAACTGCTGCTGGCTCTCTCTGTCTGCTTCCGTGCGTGTCCATCTGTTGCTCCGGAGTCTCCCTGTTCCTGCACCAAATACTCATGTACGTGTTGGTGTGGGGGTGGCTAAACCTGAGTTACAGGTGTCCCGATTCCACCCACTGGGGAATCGGGGCGTGTTGCTCACCAGCAACCACCAGGTCCATGGCGGGAGGGAGGGGGCTGCTTTGATTTTTGCCCTGAACCAAAGTGCAGATGAATGTTCACCCTGTGGTTGAAGGAGCCTCCCCTTAAGAGCCAGCATGGGCCAGCGGCTAGAGCAGGGGACAGGGAATCGGGAGACCTGGGTTCTGATCCCAGGTTTGTCACTAACTGCTGGGCTGCCCGGGACAGGTCCCTTCTTCACCTCTGCACCTCCACTTCCCCATCTGTGCTATGGGGGTAATCCCGGTTACCTCCCTTGGCACGCGGTGTGACTGTCTGTGTTTCTCGGTGTGCTGTGACCCTCCTGGGTGACTGGGAACCCACTGCTCAGCAGCCCCCATTCCCCGTTGCTGACAGTCCCTTTGCTCCTTCCCTGCAGGTTTCACATCGGAGGGGGAGGGGAGTGCGCGTATCTGAAGGAAGCAAAAGCCATCAGCTCCTCCCGGTGCTCTATGGAGAGACACTGGATCTGCAGCAAACCCCACGTGTGTGTAAACGTTTAGCACGGCGCTGGGCTCGGACGTTTCTCTGGCTAATGGACTAAACCAAAAAGCATCTGAGCTGGGCCAGACACTTCTGCTTCAGGGCATAAGATCCCTGTCCTTGGGAGTAAACTGTCCCTAATGGATGAGTGATCTCATCGTCCATTAGGTGACCTGCACTTTCCTCTGAAGCAGCTGGTACCGGCTACTTAGACAGGAGACTGGACTGGATGAACTGGGGATTCCTGAACCAGCCGGTTCTCACCTGAGGCCACTTCCTGTGGTACGTCTGGGCACCAAGACCGGCAAATAAGGACCAAACACTGGGCCACCTTTCAGGGAGCGGTTTTGATCTCCTCTTCCCATTGAGCCACCTCCATGCCGCGAAATCACTTCCACAGCTGTAATGGAGCCCCCTGCTTAACTGAGCTTCCAGTCGTAGGCCTGGTCTATGCTACAGAGCTAGATGAGCCTGCTTCAGCCACAGCTCAGAAAAGTGCCTGTTAGTTCAGGCAGTAGAGGCTCAAGAGATCCCAGGTTTGATCCCAGCCGCTGACAGCGTTGCACTAGGACAGAAGCAGCGTCCGAAAATCGGCGGCATTTCGGTGGTGACGCCTCTGGATGACGCTGCTTGGCGGCGGCGACGCCTATTGACGTTGCCGCTTCTTGGCGGCATTTCGGCGGATGCTTGTCCGTTTGGCGCCCGCCAGACAAAAAAGGTTGGGGACCACTGCCTTAGTGTCTCTGAGCTGGGGGCCTTGGCATGTTTTGCAGGACGGCAATCTCTGGTCAAGAATGACCCGACGATACCATGAGTCATACCAGCCCCTCCCCGGTTTTGGGAGGGTAGGGGGGAGGAGATCAACTGGAAACATATACACTGAACTAGAGCCTAAGTTACTGGGCTCAACGCAGGAATCGCTGGGTGAGCTTCTCTGCCCTGTGTTAAGCAGGTCAGGCCAGATGGTCATAGCGGTCCCTTGTGACCTCAAAACCTCAGATATTTGGTTTTGGGAAGAACAGGAAGCTGAGAGGTGGCTTTGGATAACCAGGCAATCGTCGATTTCCTACCTCTGCACCTTACTAGCTGCTGCTGAAAACCGTTCTGGTCTCGTGCAGCTGATAATCCTGAGACCAACCCGAAGTGCACCGAGTGGCCCAGAGGATGGTTCTGTCGTGGGTGCATTATTTTTATTGATGCGGGATTAAAGAGCTCGAGCGCGTCTACCAGTGCGGGCTGCATAGCGGTGAGCTTCCAGGGAAGATTGGCAGGAAGCGGGTGACGCTGGCATGCCAGGAGAACGAAGGCGGGAATTGCAGAAAGGGAGCTGGGCACGAGGTACGAAGGGCCGAGCGAGGGCTGATCCAGCAGCTGTGAATGGACTAGTTAAGGACTGTGCATAAGCCCTGACCTATTGAGGTCTGATGCAGCGAGCGAATGCAGTGCTTTCTCCCTGCTCCCCCTCCGAGCTATCTCTTTGTGTCTCCACAAAGGCAGTGAGAAGGAAGCAGAGAATGGATGAGTGTAAAGAACATACCTGAAGGTTACACAGTGGCATAGACAGCAAGAGGGATATTAATGGTTACGCTCCCCCCCCCCCCCCCATGGGGAGACACCTGGTAGTAACTTGCAAATAGTAGCAATGCAGGGGGCGTCTTAGTCTCCTGTAGAACCGGGAGCGTCTTTAGTGCAGACGCTGCCTCTTCATCTGCACTATCCTGCCAAACTTCCCTGGAAAGCTGGAATCACTGTGTGCTGCTATCCTAGGCACTGACCTCTGCAGGTGCAGACTCTCCAGACGTGCCGTCCCGTTTGTACCCATCATAAACACTCTCCCTGGCCGTCGCACAAAGACAGGCGCGCTTTGTCGTGACCGTTTTAACGCTGACCCAGGGACTCCTCTTCAGTTTTGTTTTTAAAACTTTGTAAACTGAGATTGACTTAATTATGCTATTGATATCACTAAGTTAGACGTTTCTGGCAGCCCCTTTTTGCACAGTATTTATAATGGGCTGTTTCCGGACTAATGTTGTAAGTCAGTGGTCTCCAACCTTTTTATGCCCAAGATCACTTTTTGAATCTAAGGGCAACCCTGGATGTACCCCGCTCACTCCATCCCCCTGCCTCTCAGTCGCTCGCTCTCCCCCACCCTCACTCACTTTCACCCGGTTGGGGTTCGGGAGGGGGTGCAGGCTCTGGGCTGGGGCCGAGGGGTTCGCAGTGTGGGAGGGGGCTCTGGGCTGAGCCTGGGGCAGGGGGTTGGGGTGTAGAAGAGGATGAGGGGTGCTGGCTCTGGGAGGGGGCTCAGGACTGGGGAAGGGGGTTGGGGTGCAGCAGGAGAGGGGTTGGGGTGCTGGCTCTGGGAGGGGGCTGGGGGTTGGGGTGCGGCCTCCTGCGTGGCAGCACTTTCCTCCGACGGCTCCTGGTCGGTGGTGGGCGCAGCGAGGCTAAGGCAGGCTCCCTGCCTACCCTGGCCCCACACTGCTCCCAGAAGGGGCCAACGTGCCCCTGGGGAGAATGGCGGGCACGTGGCCCCGTGCCCTGCCCCTCTCTGCAAGCACCACCCCTGCAGCTCTCCTGGCCACAGGGGTGGTGCTTGCAGGCAGGAGCAGTGTGCAGAGGGAGACCCCTGCCCCACTGGCCACTTTTGGGAGCGGCATGGGCCAGAGTAGGCAGGGAGCCTGCCTTAGCGGCAGCCATGCTATACTACCAGACTTTGTGACTGTGATCGGCTGGTGACCACTGCTGTAAATGAAGTATCCAGCATTGTTGGGTCGGGACTTGTATTGCAAGGTGTAACGCTGCACTCCCGATTCTTCAGTGATATGATTAGGGCATAATTCTGATGTATTTTATTAAGGATAGGTCATGTGAGACCATTGGAAAGGTTATTATTTAAAGAAGAGGATTATCCTATTTGTATTCATGTATCATTTTTGTATCTGAAGTTAAGAATATTGACTGTATATCTTATTACAAATGTGTTTACACCTGGGGAAGGGCCCGTTCAGGTTGATGAGTCATTAGGAGAAAACAGGCCTTGGGAGAAGCTGATCTCCCACCAGGAAGCCTTCTTGAGGATGCTGTGAAAAGCCTCTGACTCATAGCTGCTATGATACTACAGGGTCATGTGACCAGGTCACCTGGTGCTGGACTTCATTCTGGAATACCAGTGTTTTTTCCCCACTGACTGGCGTGGGAACCCAGCTTTGAGACAAAGCGTTCCTGCCATATGCAAAAGCTATTTAAGGCAGGGGAGTGACCTCATCATGGTTCTTCACTGACTCCCCACCCAAAGCGACTCTCCGTAACACCTGAGGAATAAAAACTGAACTGGGGGAAGTGCTGGACCCAAGCTAAAGGGATTCTTAGCCTGTGAATGAAACAGCTGGGGATTCCAGGCTGTAAGTTAGTGCAGATGGTCCCTTAAGACGCTGCAGGCTGCTTGTATCATCTCTTAGGATGAGAATTTGCTATTCAAAATCTAGCTTTTGTAGTTAATAAACTTGGTTTTGCTTTGTCTAAAACCAGTGTGTGGAAGTCCTAACTCTGGGCAGAAAGCTGTTGTGTTTCCTCTCCCCGTTGAGGGAGGGGGTGAATTTCATGAGCTTACGCTGTACAGTTCTCTGTGCAGCACGAGATGGTGTAACCTTGGCTTTACACTGCAGAGAGGAGGTGTGTGCCTTAGGAAGTGGGAGGTGCCCTAGCTGTGCCTCCCCAGGCAGAGCTGCAACTGGGGCTGTCCCTATCCGTATGTGTGCAGGCTGGTCACAGCAGTACAGTGAGCCCAGGCTGGTGGGGCGGGGGGCTCAGTGGCACCCCAGGGGGAACCTGTCACACAAGGTAACTTCAATTGTAGCATTGTGTTAAGATTACTGATGCCTGGAAAGTAGCATTATGCTGAGAGGTGACTGCACAAACCTCATTGAGACTGATGGGTGTGAATGCACCTTTCAATTAAGATAACTGTCAGGATAAGTTGATTGCAACCTGCCCACCACAGACAGACACAAGGTATGTGAGCCTGCCTGGGCCTATTGGACTGAATGGGTGGGGGAGCTTTGCCAAGTATTTGGGGGTTGAGGGGAGGGTGCAAAACACAAAGGACTACAGAGCTGCTGGAAGGAGCGGCTGAACGCACAGCATCTGAGCCTGGGGAGAGAATTTGGGGGTCAGAGGTGCAGGCTGAAAAGTGCAGTCTTGGTGCTGTGAGCAAAAGAAGCGGTTTCCTGGTATCTGGTTCCTTCGGTGTCAAGGGAAACGGCCTTTGTACGGTCTTCATAAATAAACAAACCTGTATCGTATAAATACCAGCCTCTCACCACTGTCTCTGAACTGGGACAATCTACCGATCCTAAATTTTTGACGAGCTGCTCAGATCACAATGGGTAACCGTATTTATTTTAGAGCACAAGTTTTAACCCCCACCTCCAGCCTTTGTCTTGTTGAGGTAAGTGAAGATAGAATTGGGTTACCAGCTTCTTAAAGTTAGGAGTGAGCAGAGCAGCCTAAGCTAACTGGTCGAGAAACCACTACGCCTCTTTCCTCTCCCTGCTTCAAAAGTCTTTCTAGAAAGTTGTGAACAAAAATCCAGTGTCCCCTCCCCCCCAGGATGTTTGGGGGGGGGGGAGAGGTTAAACATTTACACTGCAGTAGCACCTAGGGGTCCAAACAGATCCGTGCCCCACAGGGTCAGAGACCGTCCCTGCCCCAGCTGAGATCCGGCTGTGGGGGAGTTGCTTCCTTTTCACACACTCAGGCCAGTTATTTGGAATTTGCCCTCTTTCCTTCTCCTCTAAACCCAGCAGTTTGCCTCCAGCTATGACTTCACTGGACCAACTGGAAGTCAGTCAGGTGCCCCAGTCTTGCTGCCTTTCAACAGGGGTTTGTGCTTCTCAAAAGCCCACCCTATATAAGAAAAAGACCCAAAAATTGGGACTGTCCCTATAAAATTGGGACATGTGGTCACCCTAGCACCCAAGGAGTATCAGATGTGAAACAGCATGAAGGTATTTAAGAA